TCACAAAATGATAACAGTATTTATACAAAATACGCCGAGAATCAAACCAAAAATGCATAAAATAATTAGATATAGCATAGATTTAGAAGGATTAGAAAAGACAATAACTTGTAAGTTAGACTCTAAAATAGTGGACCAATTAGAGGATTTAATAAAAATTATACAAGATGCAGCAAAAGAAAATAAAATCAAAGAAACAATAAGAGCCAGAGAAGATACCTGGATAACAGAAGAAATTATTAACTTAATGAAATACAGAAACAAATTCTACAATAATTTAAAGAAATGCAATATAAATGAAGTAAGCAAACATAATGCCATAAAAATGAAATATAATAATATAAAAAAAGATATAAAAAATATGATCTACAAAGCAAAAAGACAATACTATTCAGAAGAAACAAAAAAATGTGAAAGTGACTCTCGAAAAATATGGGAACTAATAAATAAAACATTAGGAGGAGGAAAAAATAAAAACGAATATAAAGAAAATATTGAAAAAATACAGCATAAAGATAAAAATATATTTCTTACAGAAAAGGAAGACATTGCGGAGTATCTCAACAAACATTTTGCTGAAATAGGTATGAAACTACAAAAGAAAATGGATCATTGCAACTATAAACCATCAATACACAGACCTAAAAACAAAATCCAAATTTTTGAATTAACAGATGAGAAAGAAATAAAAAAAATTGTTGAAAATCTGAAAAATAACGCTGCACCTGGCGAAGACAAGATAACAGCAAGAATCACTAAAAAAATAATAAATATAATAGCTCCACTACTTGCTGTTTTAATGAATAGATACATAGAATGTGGTGTATTTCCATCGTGTCTTAAAATGGCTACAATAAAACCAATTTTCAAAACAGGAAACAAAACAGATCCAAATAACTACAGACCTATAACAATAACAAACACATTCTCCAAGATATATGAAAAAGTAATAAAAAAAAGATTACTTGATTTTCTCATTCAAAAAATTGACAAAAATCAATATGGTTTCCTCCCTTCATCAAATACACAAGGTGCCCTAATAGATTTGACTAATACCATCAGTCAGCACCTTGAGGAAAATATGCACACAGTTGCAATTTTATTGATTTACAAAAAGCTTTCGATACAGTAGATCATGGCATATTACTTAATAAACTAATAGATTTAGGTGTAGAGGGTTTGTCTTACAGCATTATCAAAGATTTCCTCATGAAAAGAGTGGTAAGGACGAAGGTGGGAAATTTCACAAGTGGAGGATGTAACATAACCTGTGGAGTTCCACAAGGTTCTGTATTAGGACCTTTATTGTATCTATTATACACCAATAACCTTAAAGACGCAAAATTAAAGGGAAGATACATATTATATGCAGACGATACAGCGATAGTATATGCGGATAAGGATAAAAAAAGACTCGAAGATATTATAAACACGGACATGAAAATATACACCGAGTGGCTAACTGAAAATAAACTAACAATTAACATAGATAAAACAAAATACATATATTTCAAACATAGAAAAAATACTGAGAACACTAAACTAAAAATTGAAGTAAATAATAGAGCAATAGAGGAAGTGGAAAGCATAAAATACTTAGGACTGATAATAAATGAAAAACTGACATGGACAGACCATATAAACAAAATAAAAAGAAAGATAGGAACATTAACAGGGGCATTGAAAAGGATCCACTCTTTCGGCAAAAAAAATAAAATACTAATTCTTAAAACGCAAATAATACCTATAATTTTATATGGCATAACAACATGGAGCCAAACAACTAAAGCAAACCTAAATGACATACAGAGAATAATGAATAAAGCCATAAAAATAGCATATAATTTACCACATCTAACACCCACCAAATACTTGCAGAGAGAAACAAATAATCATTCACTAAATAACATAATTAAAATAGAGAAATGCAAACTAATACACAAAATGAAATTTAACCGAATTAAAACAAGTGCAACAATAGACACAAATCAAGATATACATGAACACTACACGAGACAACACAACAATTTTCACATTGAACGCAATAGAAAAAAGAATTTGAGAGAAAATGTCATATGGAGTGCTACCAAAATATATAACGAATTGCCAGACTATATTAAGATGACCAATGATAATGATAATTTTAAAAGAAAAATAAAGAAGTACTATATGGAAATTGAAGAAAAAGAAGACTGAAGAGTTATATATAGATATTATATTAATGAAATAAATATTATAGTCAAATGAAATGTAAATATTATATGAAAACTGTTTTTCATAATCTCTCATACCAGGCACCTCTGTCTGACTGAGATATGAAAATAATGTATATATGTAAATAAATAAATAAAACATACGTAATCTTAGAAAAGAATGAAGAGCTTATGGCGAATGCACCAATTGAGAGCGTCGGTGTGGCTCAGCCAAAAGGGTGGATAATTAGTGACTTTTTTTGTAATATCTAAGAATATTCGTCAAAGACACATGTGCAGACTTTCCAAAGTGTGAAGATGGCTGAATATGTGATCAATGCAGGTTATTTTGAAATGTCCGGTACTAGGTGCCACTTTCTAAAATTATATTTTTTGATACCAAAGATTGATTTATAGTATTAATTATTATTTAGCAAAGATTGCGGTTTTGTTAATTTAGTTTGATTTCTAGCTTTGTTATCTAACATAAATCATACCTTAATAAACATTCCGTAAAATATTTTTTGATTTATTAAATTAAAACGAAAGATGCTAAACCCATAAACATTGCTACAGAACCCATGGAAATGCAGACAAAATGTGTATTTGAAGCTATAAAAATTCTCAAACAAAAATTATATGATTACAATAAGATATACAATGAAAGAAAATCTGTTATTAATGAATTGTTGGACAAGGAAATAAATTTATGTAAAGATTTAGGATTACAACAAAAAGGACTATCGACAAGTCCAACATTACCCACATATTGAAATTTTCCAAAAGTACTTGTTTGACATGGAGCAGAAAAAATGTTTGAGACAAACAGAGACAAAAGGATATTTATGATGAGCTTGAAATAAAGCCATCGTTAGATTTTGAAGCTTTTCGAAAAATATTGTTTTAGAATTGCCTTAGTGCATTTATGGAAGTGCATTAAAGAGGATCTTAATGTACGCAATGAGTTTCTTTTAAAATATCCTGGGCAAAAAAATGAAAAATAATATAAAAGTTTTCATAGAAAAATCAGAAAAGAAATCAATACGTGGTGGGACAAATGCATGACTTCCATCTGAAGAGAGATTCACAAAGAGATGACAAAAAATTTTGGTACTTAAAATAGCAATTAAAAACAATATATAAATGAATTTATTTTCTATACGTTTCGACGGTCTATGCGTGTCATCATTTCCGAATTTGCACAAAGAGTGTAAAACATTTATAGGTTAGTTTTTATGTGAAAGCAAAGGTTAGTTTTTATGTAAAGCAAACGAATAGCTTTATGACCAACTCATACGAAGATAGACCTATAATATAGTGTTACTATAACATTCCAATTTTATCCGAGAATTGGCCATATTTGTTTATTAATGTTGATCCTGAATATAAAAGTTTAAAAAATTTTAATTAGAAATGATGTTTTTTTTTCTGTACGTTTCGACACTCTATGCGTGCCATTATTTTGGAATTTGCAGCAAGAGCAGCACAAAGAGTGTAAAAGATATTTGTATCAGTGAAAAAATTACAATTAAAGAAAAAATATGATATGATACGTTTCGACACTCAATATATGCCATCATTTTGCAGTTCATATAAGAAGTAACATAACGAAAAAAATGGTATCTATTGAAGTACGAATGAGAAAATAGAAATTAAAACCTAATTCTAAAAATAATAAATATTTTTTTGTGCGTTTCGACCCTTTATGCGTGTCAAATTGATATCGATTCAAATAACGGTAAAAGTATGGAAATTTAAAATGAAATAATATAAATAATGAATTTTTGTTTTCAATACGTTTCGACCTTCTATTCGTGTCATCATCAATAACTGTGACACACATACATTCATTTATTAATAATGGTTACTATTATAAAAATGTAAAAACTACATAATTAGAAAATAAAACACTATGAATATAAAATATTTTTTCTGTACGTTTCGACCCTCATTGTGTGTCATCATTTTGCAATTCACGCCTAAAGGGTAAAAGATTTTGGAATCGATTTAAGTTGCACAAAAAAAGAAATTAAAAAAAATCTATAAATTATAATATAAATATTTGTTCTATACGTTTCGGCACTTAATGCGTGTCATCATTTTGCAGTTCACACAAAAAGAGAATGAAAGTTTTGTATCAATTTAAATAACAGTGAAAATATTAAAATTAAAAAACAAATCTATAAATATTGAAAACAATTTTTACTATACGTTTCGACACTATGTGTGCCATAATTTTGCAGTTCACACCAAGAGATGATGTAATATTTAAGTTTCAACTATTTATGTGTGTCATCATTATGCAATTCGCGCCAAAATCATCAAAAAATAGAATAAAAAGATTTTGTTATCGATGAAAGAATACAATTTTTAAAAAATCAGTTATTTCTAAAGAAACGGCTTGACTGATCTTCACAAAAAACGCAAGTCCTTACCGAGTTGCATCAAGTCGCTTTTGAATTTTTAAAATCGGCACAGCCGTTTTTGAGAAGACGTCGACGAAAGATCAAAAATTGTCCAAAATTTATAATTAGAAATAAAAATACTGTAAATGATATTTTTTCTGTACGTTTTGACACTCTAATGCGTGTCATCAAGAGTAACACAAAGAGTGTAAAAGATATTTGTATCAAAGTTGCAATTCTGATCTTGATTGTTTCAGAATGACATGAAACGTCGCAAAACCATAAAATTATAATGATATTGGTTGCACAATACTTAAATTAAATAAATATATATTTTGGCTTGTTCTAAATAATAAAAACGTTATATAAATGCTTATTAAATCAAAATAAATATCAGTTACCAATTCAATGCTTGGTGACTGCCTCATACAATTTTGGTGCCTCCAACCGAACAACCCGAACCGAAGTCTTCAACTCCCATTGACCTTCCTGAAGAGTCTCAACAAAAGTCGACAAATAGGATATCAACTCCTGTGAACCGTCTTCATCCAAATCAGCAATCGTTGAGGAATTTTCTTGGTACACCAACTCCGGTTGGCAAAAAGGTTGTTCGCTTTGTACGCAAATCTGCTTGACATCACTCTGACTAGCGTTGACAATATGGATATCTTTATCATCAAACGAGATCAAGACGACTCGTTCGGTTAGATTGTGGATTAATTTGGAGTACTTTTCGGTGTAGTAGTTGCGTTTAAGGCTACGTTTGATGATTAATGATTTCATGCTCCAGCTTTGCTTTGTTGCATAATTACTGAGGAATAAATCAATCGGTTGTCTGGATTTGGTTGTGGCATTGTCTTGGGTAGGGTTAGGGATGACCCATTGCCAGAATTTGAGCACAAAGCCGCTGATGGTGTTGTTTGATTGGTTGAAGGATAAATTTGCGGGGACCATACCGTACACACCGACACTATGGTAGTCCCAGGTGACATTATTAACACCATTACGTTTGTCCACGAGTTGTACAGAGACTCTACAATGGGGACAACGTCCGTGGTTCTCAACGATTAATTGGCGCCCATTGGATTCATAAATGTTTGTCTGGTTTTCGGTGTCTTTACGTTGTCCGTACTTCTGGTGTTGTTTAGGAATGATACTGGACATATTTTTATCGTTCACGGACTTGTTAGAAATTTTTGAGTACAAAGATTTGAACGGTAAAATCCTATAAACATCAGTTTCATTATGGTGACATATAAAAGTAATTTCTAAGCGCTCGTTTATCGCAAGTTTGGAGATTGAGGAGCAATCAGGGACACCTAACGGTTGTCCCAAAATTTTACCAACACGTCCAGAAATAATAATAACATAAAGTTCCGTCCCATTTGATTTACAAGACGTTAATAATTCATACACACCATCTTTATCCAAGTCCATTAAAACTACAGGAAACTCATTACTATTTATGGTGAGATACGGTAAATCCAACGACCAGTACGAAATACCTGATATAGGATTCAAACTTTCCATTAACCCGTTAGTGCCTAAAACCAAACAATCCGACAAACCGTTCCCATCTATATCAATCAACCCACAATCAATATCCACAGGCGACTTTTTCATCCCCCGGTACCAAACAACCTCACCGTTCGCAGCCATTATAGAAATCACACCGCCTTCTTTAAACGTTCCATTCTCGTGCTCCGTGATCATATCACCACGGTATAAAAATATAAGGTTTTTACTACGTCCGGACATGCCTTCAACAATGTTAATAACACCCTTAAGTTCCAAGCCTGTATAACCTTTATTCCAATTGGAGACTTTTATTACAGATGACAAAGGTTTGCAGGTTAGGTTCTCTGAACACGGTATCACCCATAAAAACACGATTATCGTAAACAAGCAAGCCATTAAAGATAAGACAAAACAGAATTTACGAACAGGAGACATTGGTTTTTTCTCGTTAGTCATTATACCTACTGTATCGCTTGTGTAACCGTGGTCTTCCATTTCGTCCAGACCATGATAATTGTTATGCGTTGGTTCAAATCCATTTGCCATTTTGTGGTTAGTGTTGTAATTAACTACAGGATTGTTTTTGTTGAGTCTGTAGTTTATTTGTGAACTCAAGGCGTTGTGTAAATCGTCTTCGGATTCTGTGTCTGATAAATTTTGTGGTATAGGAGAATAAACTCCTTGAATACCTGACATCATACACTACTGCAAAAAAATCTATAATGTAATAATAATAATAATAAAAATAATAAAGCAATACTAGTTGCGAATTGTACTTACGTGTGGTGGTAAATGCTTTCAAGTCCCTCACTCATTTATTTTAAATATTTTAACCATGTATATTTTAACCATCTTGCATGTTGACATTTGTGCAATGGCATTGGCAACATGGTGGGCTGTCAAAAATTTAAATGCAATTGGAATTACTTAAATTTAAGACATTTGTAATATAACTATATGATTGCACTGATTAGATAACTCTTGATTTAGTATGTTAATATTGTAAAAACGTGACACTATGCAAATAATGTAAAAATTAACTCTTGATCAGAATCACTTTTAGAATTAAATATGGCGTTGTGCACCATAGATAAGTAAACATACCTTTGCTCCTTTGATAAAAAAAAATACTGCAAATATTTGTAACAGCTATGGATGAATAGAGTACGTTTAGAAATTTATTTGTTTAAAATTTATTTGTGTTTAAATGATTTCTGCACCCGGCTTTATATATTTGCATTCTGACAGTTTTGACATTTGACATATTTATCCGCCATTTTAAATGTCAATGAAAACAACAAACTTTTTGTATTTTTATTTGTAATAGTGATTGATAAATAGTAAATATATATATATTAAATGTTTGTAAATGCATTTTTATACAATTTGTTTGTTTTTAAATGATTTTTATACCCGGCTTTAAATTAGCATTTTGACAGTTTTGACATATGACACATTTTTCCGACATTTTAAATTTCAACAAAAATAACAACTTTTTTGTATTTTTTTTTGTAATAATAATTGATGATAGTAAATATGTATACAAAGTAGGTTTGTAAATTTATTTCCATGCAATTTATGTATTTTTTAATTATTTTTATACCCAACTTTCAAATTTTTATTTTGACAGTTTTGACATATGTAAGATGACACATGTCAACAAAAGCAACCAACTTTTTGAATTTTTAGTTGTAATAGTAATTGTTAAATAGTAAATAGATATATTAAGTTTGTTTGTGAATTTATTCGTATTAGATTTATTTTTTTATTAAAGGATTTTTATAACCGGCTTTTAATTTTGCTTTTTGACAGTTTTGACAAGTTGACACATTTGTCCGTCATCTCAAGTGTCAACAAAAGCAACAAAACTATTTGTAACTGTGATTGATAAATAGTAAATAAACAAAACCCAAGTTTATAAGCTTATTTTTATATAATTTATTCATTTTTATACAAATTTAAATTTCCCGCTTTTAAATTTGAATTTTGACAGTTCTGACATTGATAAAGTAGACACCTAACATACCCGCCACCTTGACAGTCAACAATAACAAAAACTGCACAAATAATTTGTACAAATAAATACCTAATTTTAATAAACTAAAGTGCAAAAATGTGTATATTCGTATAAATATTATTATTATTTGTTTTAACTTTTCACAATGGATAAATTAACACTGATATCAGGCACCTTGTTCATGGCAGCAGATGTCTTTGCAATTGTTAGTTTAGCAATGCCAGATTGGATAACTACAGATGTAGGAGGTAATAATTATTATCAAATACCATTAATAATAAACATTTGGTTAAATTTAATTTTTTTCCTCAGGGGATACAAGATTAGGTCTAATGTGGACCTGTATGACCTTGTACAATAGACCTCAAGTATGTTATACTCCCGATTTGCAACCAGAATGGCTGATGGCACTTATTTGTATCTTTATCGGTTGTATTTGTATAACGACCACGATTATTTTGTTGGCTTCCAGTCATTGGGATAGAAATGTTGTTCCTTATGCACGATGGGTTGGATTTACAGCAAGTAATGATAATAAACTATTTATATATATAAAAGATAGAGAAAAGAAATAGATTCAAATTTTTTTTTGCAATCTGAGATACTGTGAAAGCAATATATTTGATAAAACAGTGCTTGATAACTGTTTTATATTAAACTAGCTGACCCGACAAATGTTGTTTTGCTAAGCAAGGTATATTCTAAACAATTTCTAGAGAATCAAAATATTAATATTTTAAGTGTATAAGGATTAAGTGTTGTTTGAATGCTATATACAATGAGGTATTATAAAAACAATAAACCCCATTAGTTTGTCTATATTGTGTCAATACAATCAAACTGGAAGTTTTATACACTTTCTGTAGAAAACATGGTATCATATAATCCAATCCAAGTCTTTTTTGGTCTTTTGACTTATTGATTACGTTTCAAGTTTTTCAAATTCTTTTTGAATTCTGGATTTTGTGTATAATTGTAAATAATACTACTGAGCTAATACAAAATTTTCAAATTTTTACGAGGAGAGATAGAAAATGAATTAGATATATCTTCTTTGACCTGGTTTTTTAGAAGTTTCAAGTAACATACCATAAATTAAAGTAAATTTAATAAAAAGTATATATGTAGGGCAGGGCAAGGCATAAAGGTTCACTTTGACTTTGAGCAAATATAAATTTTATTATGAAAATCAAACAAATTTTATCACAACAAATGTCACATATCAAACGAACAATTATCTGACTACGTTCATTAAAACTACCAGCTACTTCATCATTGTACAAATGCTTTTTGCTGTCTTTCAAAAATTTGTTACCTAGACCTTTTTACTCTATGGGCGGGGTAACAGGTAGCAAATAGGTCTAATCTTATTTTAATTTTAAAGGTATTTTACAAAATAATTACATTTTTAACTAATGCTAAAAAACTACCGCCGGAAGAAAATACTTTTACTATGGATTTTCAAAGATTACCATTCATCTCTCAATATCAAAGTCATAAGAATCAAGGTTATAGCTGGTTATACATCTTTTTCCCTCAACTTTCAAATATTGTTGTTAAACAATGCTTAACTTTACTGATTTCTGACACATCGGTGGTGGACCTTTTTAACTCTGGACCTTCATATATTACTATCTATTTTTCCATAAATTCTGGGAAATTATAACTGGGAAAATGTTATTCGACAAAATGTCACTTTGATCGATACCAAATTTAGGTTCTGAATTTAAATAACATAAATAAAAAATAATGTAACCTAGAAAATGTTTTATAAATACCAATGTGTATATAATTATATAAATGAACTCTTTTAGAGCACCGTGTTTGAGAAAAATATGCTAAAAATGCATTTTCATATTAACATTTTAAAAAATGTTGATATTTCGAGTTTTTAGTAACACTTGCGGCCCGTTTACTAACGTTATTTTGTATATAAATAAAACTATAAACAAAACTACTTACTAAAATTTAATCATAATTAAATAATATTCACGTAAAACCTATTAAATGTAATTGAACATCATCTGTGAAAAACGTTTTGACATTTGACGTATTAGCCACCGTCCATTGTTTTATTCAAATTACGCTTCTGCAAAAATGTAAAGTTTCTACGCGATCTCTGGATTGCCACGAATTTTTCAAGACTAAGACTGGCCAAATCGGTTTAGCCGTTTTCGAGTTTTACCGAATCATTTGATCGAGAGCTCCATTTTTATATATAAGATATTAAATTAATAAATTTTCTCCTATGACATGAAATAATAATCCTTCTATTTTTTTTCTTTAAGAATCCGTGCTACATATAAATTATAGCACAGTACAAAATTATTTTACATAAAGTCTGATTATAGGATATTTTAATTATTTTACTCCTATTTCTTTTCTCTAGCTTGTCTTTTCATTTTTATTTTGCAATTACAAAAGCATTTATATATTTGTTAATTATTATTTCAGTGGTTCTATTTTGCCTAGCCGCTGTGATATTTCCAATGGGTTTCCATGTCGATGAAATAGGAGGACAACCGTATCAATTACCAAGCTCTCATCAAGTCGGTATAAGTTATATTTTATTTGTTTTAGCTCTCTGGATTACTGTGATATCTGAATTGTTCGCCGGAAAAGTATGTTTGCCACATTTTTAAAGTTAATATAATATATTTTAATTAGGAATGTAAATATAATAAGATATATATATATATATATATATATATATATTTATATATATGTATGTATATAGTTAACTGTTTAACTGAAAATTTAATTTAAAATTAATATTATTTAAAGTTGACATTAAACTAAATTTTTATAAGTTCATAAAAGTTTGAAAGAAATTACGTAATATGACAAATTATAATATATATATATATATATATATATATATATATAATACTAGCTGGCCCGGCAATAGTTGTTAATCACGTGATCGGTTGTTTAAAGATTTTTGGAGCCTCCCTCCTCACTCACCAAACATTCCGTGTATTTTTAGTTACGAAAAAAAATGTAAAATGTTTGATTTTTTTTTATAAATATTTGGATTTTTTTTAAATATTTGTTCTCTTTTTTAAAAATGATATGTGATAAAAGTGATATCTTACAATAACCCACCCTCCCCCATGTGATATTTCGTGATTTATTGCGAAATTGATGCAAAATTGAAGAAAAAAAGTTTATCAAGGGTCATTTTTAGGATCAATTTACTTTACTTTAATTTTCTATAATTCCAAACTGAAATATACATACAACTCTCTTTACTTTACAATACCATATTTTTTTAGATCAAAGGTGGTCCATCCCTAATATTTTTTTTTTAATTTTGAAACCAATTTTCTTTACTTTAATTTTCTATGATACCAAATTGAAAAATACATGCAACTCTCTTTATTTTAAAATTCTATTTTTTATATCAAGGGTTGTCCACCCCTAATATTTTTTTTTAATTTTTGGGACCAATTCTTTTTTCTTTAATTTTCTATGATTCCAAATTGAAATATACATACTCTTTATTTTACAATACTATATTTTTTTATATCAAGGGTAGTCCACCCCTAATACATTTTTTTAAATTTTGGGATCAATTTTCTTTTTACTTTAATTTTCTATGATACCAAATTGAAAAATACATGGAACTCTTTTTACTTCGAAAATCTATTTATTTTTATCAAGGGTTGTCCACCCCTAACTTTTTTTTTTTAAATTTTGGGACCAATTTTCTTTTAATTTCAATTTGCACAATGAGAAATTAAAAAAGCATACAACCCTAACTTTTCACTCTCCTTCCACAAATCTTTTTTTTATAATAGCAATTTTAGTATTCTAATATTTTTTACTGAAAATTAATTCATAATTTCCTGATCTTATGATAAAACATGAATCTTATTTTAAAAAAACAATTTATTCACATCAAGGGTTGTCCGCACCTCCCATTTCCCATTGTACAAGTATTTACCGATGCGCACAAACAGTACATAGTTGATAAATGCTTTGCATAAAGAGCAATTTTTGCAAAAAAAATAGAAAGATTAAATATTAAAATCCAAAAGTACAATTTTACAGGAAACTAGGCACCATACAAATTTATGGCAAAGTTGTAAACTTTTCCACTCTCTCAACTTTTTTCAATCTCAGTCAATTCTTTAGGCATTCCACATAACAATATAATTTAAAAATGAATTATCGGATTTTGCATCGTAATGCAAAAATTACTGAATTAATGCAAAAGCGCGTTAATAATATATCAAAATCTTGAAACTTTAAATGTGCCAATTCAATTTAAATAGAATCAGTTTCAGTTAGGGTTGGCACTTGCAAAAACTATTAAGGGACATTTATATGTGGCGTGCTTTGCAGTAGGTGAACTATTCATATATATTTGTTAGCTGCTCCTTGCACTTGTGCACCACATTTGCAATCAGATAGTTATTTTCGTACTAAACATTTTATACTAGAAATATTTTTATGGCAAAATAACGTTGGCCGGGTCAGCTAGTATATATATATATATATATATATATATATATATATATATATATGTATAGAATTTTATGATATGAGTGGAACGAATATTAATTGTTTAATATGAACAAAACAGCACTCAGATTTGTTTAACACAACTTTATTTTATGATTACAGACGTTTCGAGACCATGGTGTGTCTCATCTTCAGTGTAATTTCAAAAACAGTTACTTATATACTACACATTCTTTAATAATTTATTTAAATTTCATTTAATTTTTGATATACAAAAAACACCAACTATTCCTTGCAATGCTTGACACAGTACTAAATTGTACTAAATCCTTTAGTACTGTGTCAAGCATTGCAAGGAATAGTTGGTGTTTTTTGTATATCAAAAATTAAATGAAATTTAAATAAGTTATTAAAGAATGTGTAGTATATAAGTAACTGTTTTTGAAATTACACTGAAGATGAGACACAACATGGTCTCGAAACGTCTGTAATCATAAAATAAAGTTGTGTTAAACAAATCTGAGTGCTGTTTTGTTCATATTAAACAATTAATATATATATGTGTATATATATATGTATATATATATATATATATAACCTTTTGATATTATTAAATATTAGTAAATAAGATTTCTACTCATTCCTTTCCATCTCGAATATTAAAATATATCTATTATTATATTAATGAAATAAGTTTATTATATTTTTTATAGATTTTTATTTGTCTAGTAAGTTAAGTTATTTTAACAATACTTTCATCAATAAAGAATTATCATTTAAAAAAATCGTTTTTTTTTTCATAATATACAAATTTCATTCGATGACAACCACAGGTGACAAAATTATATTTATATATATATTTACTATTATACTCATACCAAATTTTAATATGTATAAAATAAAAATTATTAACTTAAAATTAATATTAATTTTTTTTTCAAAAATAATAAAACGTACATATTTACAGTGTAAATACAGATCCTGATTTTCTCATTTATTAGAAAATTCAAATGCAATTGTAATTGATATATCGTATATATATATATATATATATATATATATATATATATATATATATATATATATATTTATATTTATTTTTTGTTAAGTATGATCATATTTACAATTGAAATGCTGAAAATATGATGTAATTGAGTAAATATATGTGATGTTTATAATATTCATTAGGGTGGTCCTTAATATGGACATTTTCGAATTTCTTCGCTCCCAAGATCTCAAACGTTTCGGAGCTAAGTACGTTCCATCTTCAGGACATTTGTCAAGAAACATGATTATATTGATTTGATTTAGACATAAACAAACCAAAAACAATATACTTGAGAAAAAATAAAAATTAGTGGATTTTTTAACAAAATTATGAAAGAGAAACTTATAAAAAGAATAAACAATTATAATAAATGTATGGATTATAATATAAAGAAATATTCAAGTGCAAGCTAGATTTTTTTTTAAAAGGATTTGTAATAAAATTAGGAGAGAAGAAATTATATTAAATTTAATAAAAAAATACAAAAATAATGAATCGATTATATAACAAACTATTGAAACCAGAGCTAGATTTTTTTTTTAAAAAAAATGGGAAAGAAGAAAAGTGGAAAATGTTGGATTTTTTTATATAAAATGAATTAAATCGTGGAAGAAATACTTCTGAAATATTATATCTGCCACAATTTTTTTATTTTATATAAAAAATCTACCATTTTCTACTTTTTTTTAAAATATTTTGTTTGCTTAAATCTTATCAAGATCGTGTTTCTTGACTGATGTCCTGAAGATGGAACGAACTTACATCCGAAACGTCGATTATAAATAAAAATCTCTTTAAAAACTTTTTCGTTTTTTTACAATTGGATTTTTTGTTCAAAACCTTACACAGCAATATATATGAGTTTAAAAGTTGTGCGTTACATCAATAAAAATAGCATGAGAGTTTTTAGAAATTTATTTAAAATCCGTACGTTTCGGCTAGCATCTTAGCCTTCATTCAGTGGCAATCAATATAAATATAAAAATTAGAACTAAATAAATAATATGTTTTTATTACAGTATGTGCACATATACTCATACCATGGAGTAATAATGTTTTCATCTGTTATATTAGGACACAAAATTGTAAATGTTTTTATTATTATTATTATTGTTTTTCTATGAAATTTCTTACACATTATTTATTTAGTTCTAATTTTTATAGTTATATTGATTGCCACTAAATGAAGGTTAAGATGCTAGCCGAAACGTATGGATTTTAAATAAATAAATTTATAAAAACTCTCATACTACTTTTATTGATGTAACGCCCAACTTTTAAACTCAAATATATTATATCAACACAAGATATTTAAATCTAAAAAAAAATATTCAGCGTTATATAAAACTCCACAGAATTTCCCAAAAATTATTGATAACAAATTTTAAAAAAATATACATTATTAAAACACTTATTTAATTATTATAAAAATCAATAATTCACTTTCACGTCATTGACTCTTGTCAAAATGCATCAAAAATTATATTTGAAAATAAGTTTATATATCATCAAAACGAAAAATTTGTTAAAATTTTCATTATAAATCATTAGTACATTAATAAATTTATTTCCAAAAATCTTATTCCTTATTTAATTATTATAACATTGAAAGAATCAACATTTCATCTTAATGTCACTTCACATATCCAAATTTACCAAAAATGTAAAATATCAAGAAAAAGGGTAAAGAAATTTTTTATTTGTGATGATATGTATGTTTATCAATTGTAAACTTATTTTCTTAATATTTTCAAACATAATTTTTTCTAACAATAAGTGTCAATGACGTAAAAATTTAATTTAAGTGTATTAAAGTATTTTTTTTAAATTTGTCGTCAATAGTTTTTTAAAGACCTGGGTACCCAAAACTTTGAATATTTTTTTTTAAAGGACGCTATGTGTATGTATATATATTAAAAAAATATTTAAATAACAAAATTAGTTATTCCATTAAACGTTTCGACACTTGATGTGTGTCATCATTCAGTAATCAAACCAGGAAAAACGACAGAAAAAATTAATTATGATGTAAAATTGATCAGTGTCCATAATGCACCGCTATTAATAACATAAAATATAGGAGGGCGATATGTGCTCCTTCAATTTCTCGTTTATTAATATTATAGTATATTATTATTTTACACAAATTTAGTGTTCAATCAATTTTATATCACAATTAATTTTTTCTTTTGTTTTTCCTGGTATGATGACACATATCAAGTTTCGAAACGTTTAATGGGATAAATAATTTTGTTATCTATTTTTTTTTAATTCGACGATTGGGCTGCAAATATATATATATATATATATATATAATATATATATATATATATATATATATATATATATACATTAGGTTGTCAAATATCTCCCTTCCGCTTTTTTGCTCTTGGTTTATAATACAAAAAGGCGGAAGGGAGATATTTGACAACCTATTATATGTAAATATATAAATAAAAATAAAATATAATTCCTTGCATTTGAAAATTCATACTGTATTATTTTTGTAACACCACAGGCTATTATCACACACTGTTCGAAATGCATTAATTATTCAAAACCATTCAAAATTTAAAAACAAAACATTGAATGCATTTTTATAATTATATGCAATATACAGTTTATATACTGATTAATAAACGATAAAGAAAAAAATAATAAATAAATGACTTCATATCATATCATATCAACAAAATTTCAGAAGTTTTCAATGTACACTACACTAAAGTCAAAGTATGGTAAATGAACAATTAATTAAATTAAGAATAAAATGCAAATTAATTGCATGATCAATTCATATTTTTGTTTTTTCAAATTTTTTTAATGTTTTTTTTGGTAACAACGTTTGCCCGCAGTTTTTTTTTTGATCGTTCAAACGACCTGTTACAATTGGGATATATTTTTTTACGTTTTTTGATGCAGACAAACTTTGTCGATTTTTTCCACCATGTGTCACAATTGGGTCACGTTTATCATGGTACATGTTTATAGTTAAAATTACGACATCGAGAGATTCCCGCGGACATTATTGAAAATAATGGTACAGCCCGGAAGAGTTGTGCTGGTTGTTTTTATGTCCCAAATCACGCAGAACTGCAAAAGGGTCACCATTACGTTCTGGTTCTTCTATAGGTTTTACAGGATTACGTAAAACACTTGCGTAGGTTGCTGAATTTTGGGCATGTTGTCTGGTGATCATTTCTTCGACGCTCTCTTGTTTCCTTCCACCTAAGTTTAGGGATTGTGCAAAATCTGCGTTGATTTGCTGCTGTAAACGTTCTTGTTGTAATTGACTGACTTGTTGTGGTGTTAAATTGCTTAATACGTGTTGCCGATGCATGTTTAGAAGATGCACATTGTCCGGCTGGTTGTTGTGTCCAAAGTTGAAAGAGTTTGTGTTCAATCCTACCTTGTCGTCTAGGAGATTATGTTGCTCACCACCGTACATGTCTTGCAGCTGGTTATGTTGTCCACCAACTTGTCCGGCTTGTCTTCGGTACAAAGGTACAGAATGCGATGTAGCATCATGGAACTTCCAAGGTACATCTGTAGTATCCGGTATGAATGTTCGATGAGCGTTAAGTTGCTGCTGCAACAGTCTTTCCTCCCGCAACGACTGTTGCTGTTGCAAAAGCATCATAGAGTTCTCAACATCCCGCAAAATCACTGGTTTGTTTATATAATTCATATCACTTTTGTTTTCCATCCAGTTTCGATCAGGCTGCATGTTCAATCCAGCAGACCCGTGTCCATTAGGCATATTGTGGTACAAATTCTGCGCAAAATTAGGTTTGTCGTTTAAAATATCATCGAAACGCGATATTTCATTATTCGGTAAATATAAATCCTGTGCTGCAGGTTGATGCTTGTTCATGTTTATAACATGTTGTAAAATTTCAGAGAACTTAGTAGCAGGTTCCATACCTTGTGTGTCTAACAAGTGTCGATACCACTCCAATTGCCTAGCCTTCGGTTCCAAAGCCATATCATGAAATGTGATATTCGGCGGCAACAAAGTCCATTCTGGTGTCCTGATGGTCTCCTGCACAACTGGTGGTCGTTCAGGAAAGTGCACGTTTTGCAAAAACTGTATATGCTCCTTTTCCGGCTGAACTTTGTTGTGTGTAGGTGTCGGCATCACAGGATGAGGTATTTGTTGGTTTATATGCTGGTTGTACATCTGGTTCACCCTTGCCAAATTATCATAATTATCAGTGACAAAATGTGGTGGACTCGGAGTGTTCCTTTGCGCCATATTGTACAAACCATGTTGCTGTTTCGTCATATGTTGCAACGTAGGCATTGATATATTATTTGGGCTTCTCATAGTCGGTAAAACCGGAGGCATTCTTATAGGAATATCCTGCTGGTTGACTTTGCTTTTCGGTGAAAGCATTGAAAACGCGTTGTTCCATGAAGGTTGCACGTTGTTTGGAGGTTGCGATGCGTTTACCGCGGGTTGTCTTATTGGTGGCGGGAACACGTTTGTATTTTGCGCCGGAGGCGCCTGATTAGGATAATAATAAACCGAGTACGGCGGTTGATACACTGGTGGTGGTCCAGGTGCGCCCATAAACGGCGGTATTTGATTCGTATTCGAAGGAAATCTAACAGGTTGCGTGGACGGGACAGGAGGTGGCACATTTGTTTGAGTATTATAAGTACTTACAGAATTCTGCTGGCTTTTGATGTAAGCTTCAGACTGAAAAGCACGGGGTATAAATTCAGGTGCTAAAGGATTCAGCACATAAGTCTTTTTTAACTCCACGCCGTCCAGTTGAGATCTAAGAAGTGACCAAGTGATACCAAACAAACTTTTGTTTTGGTTACAAATTTCTATAAAACGCTCCCAAACCTTCCGGCACCTACCAATAGAACACAAGGCTACTGGATCACCTACAACAGCAACCAGGCTTTGTGCACGCGTAATTGCTGTGTTTAATAATTTTGAGTTTGAAAGAAACCCGTAGTCTAGTTCATCAGGTTTGGTACCTGCACAAGTACGTCTAGTCCTTACTGTTGATAAAAATATTGCTCTAAACTGTTTGCCCTGGACGTTCAAAACCCGTTCAAACCGAAATACCACCCATACGCCTCTTCCTTAACTCAGACCTTATGCGAAACACTTGATCAGCATACGGTGTCATAATCCCTATACTGTGTTCATCCAATTTACCCCACGCCGCAGGCCATTTCTTTCGCAACTCCGAAACCCTTTCAACAACCTCATAAACCTCAGAATTGTTATAAAAAGCCGTTGAATTCGTATCTTGAACATCCTCGCCTCTAGTTGTAAAAAACGTCAAGGGGTAAATTTATCATGTCGCGGCTGTTTACCACTGGATATCAATTTTTGATCATAAAATAGCTCAGAAGTAAAGTGAATTATGGCTTCGTGTGCTCTGTAATTTTCGCACAGTAAAATTTTGCAGGGAAATGTTCCCGGGTAATGATCGTACAAACGTTCTAGTAATGATACATGTAAGTTTCGTTCTTTAGCGAATGCTGAGAACAGTTCGGGACTTAACTGCATGTGGTCTCCGGCTAGGACGATTCTTGTTTGGTCACCGGCCAGGGCGAGGGGCATTATTGCTTCGCATTCCATGGCTTGTGCAGCTTCGTCCAGGAGTATGTGGGTGAAGTATCCTGGTAGAAAATAAGCAAATTGATAATTGATACGAATATGCAAATTGATGAATTATCACATGGTTAGTAATGTTTTGGTTCTAATGGATAATATGAAGTAAGATAAGATAAAATAAGTATTATTTGTATATCTCATAGTTGAATTGATAAATATGTGAAATTTATTCACTATTATTGAAATTATACTTTTACTTGTCTGACATATAACAAGATTGGCATTTTAGATCAAGAATGTTGTGTTTATTAAAGTGAAACCTCCAAGGCGACTTTGACAGGTAACAATGTAGGAGGAAAGTGGCCAAATGAGAATTTCCTGAAACATCCTACATAGTCTGAAAATGTTCTACGTAGTCGTAAAATGTTCTGGATAGTCTGAAAATGTTCAAAATAAACTAAAAATGTTCTAGATATTTTGAAAATGTTTAAATGGTTTAATTGTTTGTCGATAGTCTTAAAATGTATATTCTAATAAAATTTGAGATATTCTAAAAAAGTTCTAGGCTACTGAAGATGTTCAGGATAGTTCCAAAATGTTCTAGATGGTCGAAATATGTTCTAAATAGTCTGATATTATTCTGGAGAGTCTGATAATATTCTAGTCTGAATAAGTTCAAGATAGTTTAAAAATGTTTAAAAGATTTGCTCCTAATATCCTAAAAATGTTATACATATTCTGAAAATGTTTAAATAATCTCAAAATGTTCTAGATAGTCTAAAGGTGTACTGGGTAGTCTAAAAATAGTCTAGACGAAAAAAATGTAAGAGGTCTGAAAATAAATCTAGTAGTATCTATGAGTAGCCTGAAAATGTTCTGAATATTTTAAAAATATTTCAGATTGTCTGAAAATTCTGGAAATACTAATATTCTACATAGTTTAAATATGTTCTAGAGATACTGAACATGTTCTAGAAAAACAGAAAATATTTTAGTTTATTAGATAGTCTGGAAATGTTATAGCTATTCTGAAAATGTCGTAAATGGTCCGTAAATGGATAGTCTGAAAAAGTTCTGGACAGTCTGAAAAAGTTCTGGATAGTCTGAAAATGTTCTAAATAGTCTGAATATATTCTAGATACTCTGAAAATGTTGTAAATAATCTAGAAATGTTCTGGATAATCTAAAAATGTTTTAGAGAGTATAAAAATGTTCTAGAGAATCTGAAAATGTTCTAGATAGTCTGAAAATGTTCTTGATAGTCTCAAAATATTTCTGGATAGTCTGAAATATTTGTGGATAGTCTCAAAATGTTCTAGATAGCCTAAAAATGTTCTAGGTATCTTGAAAACATTCTAGATAGTCTCAAAATGTTCTAGATAGCCTAAAAATGCTCTAGATAGTCTCAAAATGTTCTAGATAGCCTAAAAATGTTCTAGATAGCTTGAAAACATTCTAGATAGTCTCAAAATGTTCTAGATAGCCTAAAAATGTTCTAGATAGCCTAAAAATGTTCTAGATAGCCTAAAAATGTTCTCGATACTTTGTAAATGTTATAAATTGTCTGAAAATGTTCTGGATAGTCTGAACACGTTCTTGATTGTCAGAAAACATTTTGGATAGTCTAAAATTTTCTAGATAGTTTAAAAATGTTCTAAATAGGTTCTGGATAGTCTCAAAATGACTCTGACAATAAGCGTTCTAGATAGTCTAAAAATGTTTTGGATAGTCCTAAAACGTTTGGATGATCTAAAAATGTTCTTGATGGTCTGAAAAAAATCTTGACGATCTAGAAATTTTGTGAATCTAAAATATATACAACTTAATTTTTTGGCCTGAATATATCCCTGATAGCCTAAAAAAGTTTTAGACAGTCCCAGAATGTTTTAGATACTCTAAAAATGCTTCAGATAAATTTAAAATGTTCTAGACACTCTCAAAATGTTCTAGATATACTGAAAATATTCTAAAGAATATTCTAAATATTCAGAAAATGTTCTTGATAAATGAGAATGTTGCAAATCGTCTGAAATCGTCGAAAAATGTTTCAATTTAACCAAAAATGTTGAATATCGACCAAAAATCGTCGACAAATGACGCAAATCGTTGAAAAATACTGAAATTTAACAAAAAATGTTGAAAATCGGCCAAAAATGTTACAAATCGTCTGAAATTGATGCAAATCGTGTGAAAATGCAGCAAATTATCTTAAAATGTTGCAAACCTTCTGAAAATGTTGCAAATCGTCGGAAAATTTTGCAAGTTGTCTTAAAATGTTGCAAATCGTCTGAAAATGCAGCAAAATGTCTTAAAATGTTGCAAATCGTCTGAAAATGCAGCAAAATGTCTTAAAATGTTGCAAATCGTCTGAAAAATTTGCAAATTATTTCAAAATGTTGCAAAACGTCTGAAAATGCAGCAAAATGTCTTAAAATGTTGCAAATCGTCTGAAAATTTTGCAAATCGTCCAAAAATGTTGAAAATTGTCGAAAAACGTTGTAAACCTACTGAAAATGTTGGAAATCGTCGGAAAATTTTGCAAATCTTCTGAAAATGTCGCAAATCGTCCAATAACGTATCAAATCGTCTGAAATTGATGCAGGTTGTCTGAAAATGTTGCAAATCGTCCAAAAATGTCGTATATCGTCCAAAAATTTTGCAAGTCGTCTACAAATGTGGCAAATCATCTGAAAACGTTGCAAATCGTCTGAAATTTATGCAAATCGTACGAGAATTCAGCAAATTGTCCTAAAATGTTTCAAATTATTTGAAAATGTTCTAAATTGTCTGAAAACGTTGCAAATCGTATGAAAATATTGTAAGTTGGCTGAAAATGGTAAATCTAACTGTAATAAAATCTAACATAATGTAACATGTAACATGTAAAACATTTAAAAAAGAATATTAAAAAAGAGCTGAAACATCTTGAATCATACTTAAGTTCGCAAATATTAAATATTACGATATTTATCAGAACGAAAATCGAAATATAAACTTGATATGTTAATAAAGTTAACGTTTTAAAGAAAACATCAATGACAAGTAAAATTTTGGTGACAAACTTGAAACATCTACAAAATTACCAAATCGGATTTACGCCAAAATAAACTTCTCCTGCAAAAAATTGTATTAACAAAAACTAAACAATAATTATAAATATTAAAAAACTACCTTTAGGCAATCCAAGATTAGCCAGCTCCATCGATATCGACAACGTCACCACAATAATCCTATGCTTCATCACATCTTGCAAAGTAGGTTTTTGGAAATTCCTCACATTGCCATTAGTTTCTATCAAACAATACTGCAAAAACAACAAAAAAACTTTTACAAACACGTACATAAAACACGATACTTGATATAGTTCAAATTCACCTTTTGTACAATCTGATTAGCTGTCGCCACCCATCTCTTGTGATAATAGATACGTAAAGGCCTGGCTTCTTCCATACCACTTTCCACCCATGGATGAAGATAATCTTTGATGTACAAATCAGCAGCAGAGTTCGAATGTGTGCAAATTAAAATCCTGGTATCGGATTGTAGTAGTAGTTGTTTTATTGCTTGGGCCAAAGTGTAGGTTTTACCAGTACCGAAAGGTCCGATAATTAGAATCGGGGGTAAGTTGATATGCATGGGTGTTGTGATGGCTACTACAGCTTCTTTTTGTTTTAGGTTTAATTTAGGGTCTAAAGATTCTGACCATTGGCGTTGTGGTGTCCAGGGTATGTTGGGTTCTAAGTACGTGTCAGGGAAAATTACGCGAAAGTCAGCGATTTTGTCTATGGCGTAGTGCCATTCACAATATGTCAAGCGGTTTAGTTGGAACTGCACTTCAGCAATAAAGTCTGTATCAGCTTTGATATTTAGTTCTTGTACAGTAGTTGCTGATAACCTCATATAAACCATGTTTTTGCCTTTGTCTTCAATCAAAGCCTCATAAACTTTGCGTTTACCATTAGCGTCCAATTGCGTTTTGGATTGCTCAGAAGTCAAAAACACTGACGTGCAATTATTCAAAATCAGCCTACCGGCTGATGTATCCTCCGACACGTCTTTACCCAAAGTCATCAGTGCAAACAATTCACCGCTAACCGAATATTTGGCAGTACTTGTAGCCATCCCACTTGGTGCCAACAAATAACTAGACGTGATCCTAAGTTTTGTGGTCAAATTATACCTAGCAACTTGTTCATATCTAGCCATTTCTTCCACATACAGCAACTCATGCATACGAGATCTATAATTATTTCTAGTCAAACGTTTTTCCATAACCGTGCACTGGGTTAAAGTGAACGTATTTGATCTTGGACAAGGATATGTGTTAAATAAATCGCGATCGCGCTCGTTATCAATAGAACTAACTATAGGTATTAAAGTTGATGTAAAGGGAACTATTTCAGCGTTTTCGGAATCCCAACGCGCCTCCGTGGATAAAATAATCTCTTTTTTAATCTCCTTAATTTTATCAGCATCTGTTACCGGGACCACATCCACGCACAAATGCTTCACCAAAACCGGTTCGGTACCAAAATCAAACACAACACTTTGCCTAAAAGTACCATAAATGTCTGTAGAAAACACTACTTTAACCCGGTGTTCTAAAGTAGGCGACTGATCTGTTACAGGATCAGTATATTTGGAATCTAAATTTGTAACACACCATTCCTGGTCAGATGTTAAAGTGGCTTCGACTATCTTATGACCATGTTGGCCTTTTTTGTTAGGTTTTGGTTCGCCCGGGAACACTTGTTTAAGTGTAAAATGGTTTCGGTGGGCGTCTTGCAAAAGTGCAACGGCTCGTAAAAGTAATTTTGTTTTTAGAACGAACGTCCAGTCGCGTTTGCTAACTTTGGATGAAACCGTAGTTACTAAGTCTGAAGAACAGGTTTCTTCAATACCGTCTAGTCTTTCTTTCATGATTTTTTCGGGACTCGGGGCTTGGATCCATTTCTCCAAAAGTTGCTCTAATAGAAGGAAAGTTATATAATAGTAAAATGAATAACAGGTATAATAATTTTGATGTTGATGGCTGAAATAGGCGAAGTTAATTTTAAGTCCGTATTGTGGTTTATACAAAAACCGACGTTTTAGCAAATTTTTAGTAATTTTTCCAGATAACTGATTTTAACCGGTATTGAATTTTTAACTTTCCGTAGGGTAGTTATAATAATGGGCCAAAAATCGAAAATGAAAATTTTTGCATTTCTCGACGTGTTGAAGGTTTCTGAACATTTTACTGGCATACCTCAGAAAAAATTGATGTGTGTGTGTGTTTTGTATGTCCGCATTTTTTCGTCCACGTTTTCGGGCGCACGGATCAACTGATTTGAATGGTTTAAAAAACATTTGATCCCTAATGATAGAGAGATGTGCTGATTAGTTTCTGGCAAAGGTAGGTCCAGCCGTTATGGAGATACGAAGCAAAGAGTGCAGAAAATACAAATCGAGTCTTTGACAGAACGGAGTATCGGATTTGAATGATCTAAAAAACATTCAATTTGTAATGATTGGGAAAAGATGTGATTAGTTTTTGGCAAAGATAGGTCCCGCCATTTCGAAGATACAGAGCTAAATATGCAAAAAATTGCAGTTTTTGAGTGAACTAAGCGTCCGATTTGAATGATCTAAAAAACTTTCTGCTTGTATTGACAAAACAATTGCTTTTGAGGATAAAAATTATTACATCTTTTTTCATTTTCCATAAAATATTTTTGTAATTTGTAATATTTTGGAATAAAAATTCAAAAAATTACCCAGGCTAAGCACAGTCTAAGCGCCACTCTAGTGCAAATGTTTACCCAAGTGCGTTTAGACTGTTTATATACTGGAGCTTTCCAATTTTGTGAAAACTATTGAAAAATGTGAAAATGCCGCCAAGCTAAGCACAGTACAAGTGAAAATGTCGCACAGAATTATTTGCAAACGCGTTTAGACTGTGACTATACGAGGGCACTTTTTCAAATTTTGTGTAAATTAGGCAACTATTTTTTTTTTAATTGTATTCGAAATAAAATGACGATTGTTAATGTTCTGGAGATAAATTGATTTATGATTTATGATTTACATTTGATTTGCTCAGATATAACAAAATAGCAAAAATAATGAAAGTTACAGTATTTGTAATAATTTCAATTTGCCTTACGGCACGATGCCATACGCCACTAGTTTATATTTAAATGTACATTTAATTTAATGAGGCAATTAGTCAGTAATTAAGGGAACTATTTCTATTCAATTTGTAAGAAAAGAGTAAATCTGAGAGCTTCAAATAAAATGACAACTTGGGAATTTATTTTCCACTTGGGAAAATTTTGTGACTAATTTAAGAATACGTCTAGAAGAAAAATCAATAAAAATTGTAAAATGTAATTTCATTTTACTAAATTTAAATAGAATATTAAAAAAATTGTATTAAAGTTGCCAGGAATTGCTAATAGTCGGTGGTTCTTTATTTAATTGTCTTTATTTACTAATAATATTAATTATTAAGTTAATATTTAATTAACATAATAGTTAATTAATTTCAAATATTATCTGTGATAGTTTTATTTCAGAAATACAATGGCAATTGTGATGGCTGATAATTTTATAAGAAATGATATCAATAATATTATTAATGAACATAAAATCGAATCCACTTGTTAAAATCGTTTATAAAAATAAAATTTAAATCTATTATAAAAATAACTACATCCTTAAATGTGAAAATCCTGTATAAGCAGTGAATAATTGTTTTTAAAGCTATTTCATCCTAGTCAACTATTATATCTTTGTTCTACTAATTTGCATAAAAAGATCTCTCTAAATAAACTATCAATAAAATTTAACAGTAAATAATTTCAGTAAAAAACTGCTTTCAATGACTTAAATCTCAGTTAATTCGTTTTGTATGAACTACAGAATCTTTGACCAAAATTTTTGTCATGGCAATTCTAAACCGGCTTTCTGGAAAAATTACTGTTCTTAAAGTTTTTGCATAAAATATAGCAAGCTAGGTAAAAACAAGGGCAAGTCTTAAGATTTTTCTTTACCTGTATAACTCTTCCCATATAATTCCTTTTCACTAGCCCTTTGCAATTTCATTCGTCTATATTCGAAACGTTCTCTCCACTCGGACAATTCTTCAGCCCCATGGGCCTCCACACACTGAGCACCATATCGACAAGGTCCTCCCAAACTATGACTCTCGCAAAGGGTGTAAGAATCTACTGTGAAACCTCTTGGTGGAGGTCTCCATTTCCAATCTCGACCTAGAATAAAAATAATTGTTATAATTGAAAATAACATTTTATTACTATGCTAAAAATTTAAAGTTCAGGTGACCCCAGTGATATTTAAAAAATATTAAAAAATAAAATTTTTCATATATCTTTCTTAGAAAAAATTAAATTAATGTGTGTGTGTGTGCGGATACAAATTTTCGTCGACGACTTCGGGAACACGGATCATCCGATTTGAATAATTCAAAAACATTCGAATCGTATTGATAAGAAGTCGTGCTGATTAGTTTTTAACAAAGGCAGATCCAGACGTTTCGAAGATACGAGGCAAAAAGTGACAAAAATGGTAATTCAGTTTCTAAGAGAACGGAGCGTTCGCTTTGAATGATTCAAAAAACATTTTACTTGTATGAATCAGATGAAGAACTGATTAAATTTTTGAAAAGATAGGTCTAGTGGTTTCGGAGATCCCGTGAAAAAAGTATAAAATTGTCATTTTGCAGTCAAAAGTGATCGTTGGACATATGTACATCAAATTATCAGATCTTTTATAGAAATTTCAATAACAATTATAAATTTTGTTTACATTTCTATGAGTTCCGTACCAACATTTATTTATTTACCAGTAATTCTGTAACGCGGCGCTTACGCGCTTTGACATTTCGTCTGAAAAGAGCTACGCAGCGCGATTGCTTTAAAAAAAGTTCAAAAATTAAAAAAAATAAATAATCAAGATATGAAAAAATTCAAATTTTACATGAAAGTCAAATTTTATCAAAAAATTTCAAAATTCTCAAAGATTGGATTTTTTTTAAAAAAAAATTAATAATTCTATGAAAATTTTAATTTTTGGTATGGGAAGTATACCCATGCTAAGTTAACTAAATATACATAAGTTTATAGTGAATTATATTAAATAATTTAAAAAATAAATAGAAATTAGATTTAATAAATAAATAAAAAAGTAATTAAATTAAATAATAAATGAATAAGTAATAAAATAGTTAATTAAATTATATATGCAAAATATGGACATGAACCTTATTATAATATCATCCTACTGACCAGCTTGTAAAATAAAAAAAAAAAAAAAAAGTTCTAAAATTCAATACATTTATAAAAAATGCATTCTTAAAAAAATATATTGTTTATCTTAAAAATTGATAGTTCTTCACAGAAAATTGATTTTTTCTTTTAAATATAGAAATTTACTTTTATAAACTTTATAATTTACTTGTATACGTACTTTGAAAATAATCATACTTTGTTAAAAAAGTTTATACTCCCTTTTGAGAAATTAATACTTTCTTTGAAAATTTATACTGCATTTTTAAATAAATTACTTTCTTCTGAAAAACAATTATATATTCTACTACAACACAGTTCTGCTATAACATTGAGCAAAACCCTAAAAAAATATAAAAGTTAGTGAAACTTTTAAAATAAACCATATCAAAATTTTAAATTAATGAAATCAATGTACAACAACTCAATAAATGTAATAAAACTAATGCAAAAGATACCTCATTTGCCATTTTTAATTTGAGCCCCCAAATATGTTTTGTTTTTTAAATAAAAAACCAATAAATAAATATAAAAAAATCTATTGACTAAAATCATCAATCGAAAAAAACTAAGTTTTGCAAAAAATCTGAATAATTCTCAAGAATTCACTCAAACATTGAGCAAAACCTTAATAAAAAATAAAATTTAGTAGAACTTTAAAAAAAAACTATAAAAAAATTTAAAATTAATGAAGTCACTGTACTTATTGTACAATAAATGTAATAAAAATAATGCAAAAAATACCTGATTCTTTTAAACATTGAAATTTATTTTTATAAAACTTTATAATTTTCTTTTAAAAAAAAAATCATACTTTGTTTAAAAAGTTGATACTCTCTTATGAAAAACTTATACTGTATTTTTAAAATTAATACTTTCTTTTGAAAAATAATAATACTTATGTTTTAACAAGAATTCATTTTAATACCGTTCAATAATTGAGCAAAACCCTAATATAATATAAAATTTAGTAAAACTTTTAAAATAAACCATATCAAAATTTAAAATTAATAAAATTACTGTAAAATAATTCATTAAATTGTGTTTAGGGGCTTCAATAAAAGCCCTCAAACATATTTCAAGGTGCACATCATATTTCTTAAATGCAATATCAATAAATCAAATATAGAAAAATCCTTTCACCAAAAGAAGCAATCGACAAAAACAATTTTTTGTGAAAAATCTGGCCTGAATCTTAAGGCAGTACACTAGCCTTTCGGTTCCATAAAATAAGGATTTTCACAACATAGTAATTTTATAGAATGTAATCATGGGGGCTACCTGAGAAAACTGACAGTTTTGAGTACATCTACATCAATCAATTACAAATTTCAATAGATAATGCATTTATTATTAAGTTATTAATAATAAATTTATTTAGTTAATTCATTTATTATAAATTACTAACCTTCATCAGACATAATAACAGTTTGATGTGCTTCGGACTGGCAATGAGTCCTCAACTCAGCCCGATCAGCAAAGCTCAAACTGCAATATGTACAAACAATCTCCGACATCTCTTCTTTATCCCCCACCTCATTCAAAGTCAAATTACCGATGTGGTCTATTTGTTTTTGAAAACTATTTAATTGAGTATTATTTCCAAAATCAAGTTTCTTCGAAACCCCATGTGATGATTCTGAAGTCTTTTTATTGCTTTTCCTAGTCCTATTGGAATTGGATAAAAGTTCTAGTTTTTCATCAATGTTCATCATTTCTTCGTCTAAACGTTGTTGGGATATACGTTGATTTGCACGTTGCCCATTGGCCATTTGGATTACAGTACGGTATCGATCCAGAAGTTTGAAGGCTTCGCTATTGTTGGGCATGAGAGTCTGCCATTCCCTGCATGCCGAGTCGGCTTCGGAGTATCTTTTGAGTTTGTACAAAGAGTGCACAAGTCTTCTACGGACTCTTGTACCTAAAGTGTTGACTTCACTGTCGGATAATAGTTTTAAAACACGTCTGCAATCTAGTATTACTGTTTCATGTCTATTTAATTCCTGGCAGCATTCAGCTCGACCCATTAAACAGGCTATGACTCTCTCTTTGGAGGTTTTGAAGTTGTTTGAGTTGGGACCCAAAATTAAATCGTACAATTGAACAGCTTGCGAGAACTCTTTACGTAAAGTTAAATCGTGAGCTTGGATTTCTTTATCAGACATTTTAATACGTAACAAATGTGTTGGAAATATGTCATTTACCTTTTAGAATTTTGATTTGTTTGTGTGTTTGCAAGCTAGGTTAGTGACGGACTCACATCCCAAGATGTCAAAAACTTTAGCCATTATTGCACTAAATCGAGCTCCCTACTGGGGCCTATGGTGAAACTAAGCTTGGTTTCTTTCATATTCGGATTGATTTGAATTAATAAAATGAAAATCGAGTCTTTTTATCACCTCACTTTGGCTACATTTAACATCGCACTTATTAATAATACGGTAAACTTCGCTTTGGCATTTGACAAACCGATTAGTGTAGTTCGCGTCGTTCACACGAACCGAACGGCGGCGCTGATTTCAATAACATTGCAGCGCTGCCAACGTCAAAAGACAAGTGTCAAATTAACGAAAGAAATTCAACCGAAATATTTTTGTAATTGTAAATATGTATTATTTATTATGAATTTATGTATGATTTTTGGTTATAACAATGTGTTAAGTGTAATAATAATGTTTTTATTATATATTAGTGCATATAAGATAATACTTATGTTAATACTGCCTTTTTGTATTGCTACATAAGATGACATAAATAAATCAAGTTTATGTTAACCGAAAAATGGCCGAAAATAAATTCAAATGAAAGGTAAGTCGAATATTTATTATTAATAATATAAAATATTCATTAATATTTATAATATTCATTATAATTTTGTGTAAAATACTTATGTATAAAATTCAATTTGTATTGCTAATATTATCATTAAAGATGATATAAGTTATAAGTGAATTAAATATGGCCGAAAAATGGAAAGTGTATTCAAATAAAAGGTAAGTCATTTATAATTATTATCAATATTTTTTATTTATATTTATATTTATAATGAACTTTATTATAATTGTGTGTAAAATACCTCAAAATTTATAAAAGCCAATTTGTAGCCGAGAGTTTATGAAAGACAATTAGTATTGCTACTAATTTTATCATATTTTACATAAGTAAAATAATGTGAAATTTAAACAAAAGTCAAGACAACTATTTAGTAATAATAATATTCATTGATATTTATAATAATATCCATTTTAATTTTGGCTAAAATACTCATAGCAATTTATAAATACTCAATTTATATTATCATTTCTATTATCATCTTAGATGACATAAAAAATTATATTAATTAACTTCCCGAAGGAGAAGTTTATGTTTTCATCAAAAAATCTGATTTTGTGAAGAAGAAAAATCCTGATTTTATGTTTCCTCGACGTTTCAATCCATTCTGAATCGAATGAGACCAAATTAGGAAAAAGTATGTGTGTATGTGAACAGTATTTGACTTTTTGTCGACGTTTTCTCAAAAAAAGGTTGAACCGATTTTAAAATTTTGTACTATTGTTTGTCAGTTTTGCACTACGATCAGCCAAGCCGTTTCTTTGAAAATACCAGAAAGAAACCAAAAAAATTTGGTCCACGTCTTAGCAGCAAAAAAAGCAAATTTTTGCCATTTATTTGCAAGAAAAGGTACAAATTTTTGTATTTTCTGCTAAAACGTGGACAAAAATGTATGCTTTTTTCTGCTAAAACGTTGGCAAAAATTTATGTTTTTTTCTGCTAACACGTGGACAAAAATTTTGTGCTTTCTTCAAAATCAGGTAATTTGGCGACTAAAGCTGGTTTTGTTCATATTAAAGCAGAAAAAAAACACAAATTTTGTACACGTTTTAGCAGTAAATAGCACAAATTTTTGTCGACGTTTTAGCAGCAAAAAGCATAAATTTTTGCTGATATGTCAATAGAAAAAAACACAATTATTTGTCCAACTTTTAGCAGAAAAACACAATTTTTTGTTCACGTTTTACCAGAAAAGCACAAATTTTTGTGCAATTTTGAGCAGAAAAAAACATAAATTTTGTCACGATTTAGCAGCAAAAAGCACAAATATTTGTCCGCGTTTTAGCAGAAAAAACACAAATTTTTGTCCACGTGTTATCAGAAAAAAACATAAATTTTTGCCAACGTTTTAGCAGAAAAAGCATAAATTTGTTCACACTTTAGCAGAAAAAAGCTGCGTTTTTGTCCATGTTTTAGCAGAAAATAGTACAAATTTTTGTACTCAAATTAAAATAGGTACATAATTTTTACTGGGCTTGGCTTTGTAATAGCATTTAGTTTCTTACAATTAATGATTTTTTTGTTTATTCTTTCTTTAAAACTTAAATTAATATCTAATTTTTTTCAGTCTAAATCATTTCTTCTATTTATATACAGTTCTCGTTCAGGTTTCGATCTGAGTACTCCTATAGTCGTGTACGCCTCCATTTACAACTTACAATTCAAATATTTCTACAGTGTTTTTTCGACTTCTGCATTGGGTAGTCTGGTGTCAAGCAGCAGAGACATCGGTTTACTCCTGGAAAATAGCGACATTGCAGCTGTCTTTTAACATTTTTTTTATTACAATATAATTTTACATCTGTCTTGTAAAATGGACAAGTAAAATTGTAAGGTTTATAAAAAAGTCTCTAAAAGTACAAAATCTTCTGACCATTGTCAGAGGTTTTGAAAATATGTTAATCTTGTCCTAGTAGTGTTGTGACAAAGTTTTTGAAAAGTGAGTTTGGGTGATCCTCGAGGCAGCTTTTGTAATTGACTTGATTTAATATATTGTTTGCTTATTGCTTAAACAATTTTAAATATTTTACTCTTATTTAAGTTGAACCTTGTTTCTGAAGTCGACAAAAATTTGTATCCGAACACACACACACACACACACACACACATACATCCATTTTTTCTAATGTATGCCAAAATGTTCCGAAACCTCTGAAACGTGATAAACGAAAATTTTCAGAATTTCCTAAAAGCAGTTAAAAATGATAATTGTATTCTGTATTGAGTTTATTCAAGCTTCATTTGCAATGACATTTACATAACAATCATGGTTATTTACAATGTAAATAAACATGAATATTGCTTCATTTACAATTTCAAGCTATTACATAACAATAATCAATGTAAATAAACATGAATACTCAAATTAAAAACTCCATCATCATCCGTCTCATTATTATTTACATCTTTTGGAACATTGACCAAATTATTGGGATTTGTTACTGAACCCTGTTGAATTTGCGATTTTGATTGAATGATTTTCTCCAAATCAGGTAAATTAACTGCCAAAGATGGATTGATAGTAGGCTTTATAATTGGATTTCCTTCAGCCTTTTTTTGAGATTCAATTTTTGATTTTTCTGCATTTGCTTCCAAAAGACGAGGAGAGAATCTTCGACATGGGTTCAACAACCACTTGTTGAATTTTGCAGTTTTCTTAGTCATAGTTATTACTAAATTATAGGACAAAGTTGTAAAATTAGAAATTACCAGAAATTATGTACGTCCTAACAAAATACGTAAATTGTAAAAATTCTAATAAATTATCTAAAAAATAATAAATAATAATTTAATTACTTTATATAAAACAGTGTAACATATTGACATAAGCTATATTATAATTAAAACAAAGTTTTAATATATTATTTGGAATTTTGGGCTATTTACAATAAAAGCATTTGATTCTGAAAAATACATGAGAAACACATTAATTATTAATTGAAAATAGTTGTAACATATCTACTTGAACCAAAGCAAATAATAATCAAAATGCTTTTTTTTTTCTCAGAAGTAAATGCTTTTGCCTTTAGAAATTTTGAATAAAATGCCTCTATTAATCGAAACCTAAATATTCCCTATAATTATAGTAAATCACAAAACTGTAATTAAAAAAATTACCTTCTTTTCAATAAACTGCAAACCGATATCAACTTTAATTAACTTTTATATATTTCTGATATTTTGTTTATACATTTAGAAATCTACTGATAGCATTCAATTGTTTTATAAACAATTTTATTATCAATAATATGAGTAAGCGGATGCTTATGAATAAACACTGTTCTTATAAACATTATCTGTTTAATAAAAAAATGTTTAAAAAGATAATACACCTGTAAAATAATATAGACTACCATAATTATATATATATATATTTTTTTTTTTTCTTATAAATTACAATTTGTCTATATAAAAAGACATTGAGTAATAAGTTTGACAAATAACATTAAATTTTAAAAGGAAAACCCAGTAGTTCACCTTTTATTAATGAACTAACTTATATCTTAATTAAATTTTGGTATATTATATTAGAATGATTTTATTAAATAGAATAATTTAGTATTAACTTCCCGAAGAAAATGTTTATGTTTACTCCAGAAAATCCGTTTTGCTAATTTCATGTTTTCTCAAGTTATTCTGAATAGATTGATGATTGATTATTTCTATAACTTAATTTCGGTTAAGATTTCCACTCTGATGCTAAATACATACTAAATACATCCGGAATTAGCGAGTGGAAAGGGTTAAATTTAAGTAGTAGTAACTTAACGATCATTTTATAAAATTGGAATTATTTGTTCCGCAAGAAATATATGAAAAAACATTACTTCTTCATTTATTTCAAATAGTTATAAAATAGATGCTTATGTTTTCTCCAGAAATTCCCATTAGCTAATTTCATGTTTTCTCGACGTTTCAAGTCATTCTGAATCTATAGATGATTGATAATTTTCATAACTAAATTTCAGTCAAATTATTTCTTATTTATTTTGAATAGCAGTAATTTATCTCCTTGGACCAAAATGAATCATAATCGAAAAAAGTACGTTATGATTAATTTTTTAAAACTTTTTTTAAAATTCCACTTTTAAAATTCCAAATCTAATTTGTAGATATTGGCCGGAAGCAATGATTAAGAAAATCACCTTGTTTTCGATAAACTGCAAACTGATATCGATATTGATTAACTTCTATATATTTCTGATATTTTTTATGAACAATTGTTTTATAAACAATTTTATTATCAGTTATGAGTAAGCAGATGCTTTTGGAGAAACACGGTTGTTTTTTTATAACAATTAGTTTAAAAAAAGTAAAAATATTTTTGTAATGATACAAAGAAAAATAACTGATAATAAAATTGACTTTAAAAATACAATTTTATCGGACCATCATTGGCATTAATTGTGAGATTATCATAAATTAATGTAAAATAAACTTTCTCTTCAATCTGACCCTGGTAGTTTTCTGACATTGCTTCCTGGCAAGTGAGATAGGGTGATCCTCGAGGAGGCTTTTGAACTTGTTTGAATGTGCTTATCTCTTATGTAGCAATTCTGCCTCATAACAAAGCGTTGTCATGGCAACGCTATCTTATACTTGTT